TCAGAAAATTTTTATAAAATTCTATAAATGAAACTTAATTAGTCAACTCATTCATTCATAACTTATGTGCCTATTTGAATTACCAAAATTATGTCATTTATTACATAACAAAAATATTCATGTATATTACAATAATAATGTGTATTAATCTACCTAATTACTCGGTTGTCACTAATATTAAATAACTATAATTTACTATTTAAAATATCTTATTAAAAAATATATAAATAGAATGACAATATTATTATCAATCATCTTGTTTTTATTCAAAAACTTTGGTTTTTCATATTATTATTATTATTATTATTATGTGTCTTTGCAGTAGATTTCTCTCATTTTTTCAACATTAAAAAAACTCTACCTAATATATATCAAGATGGCATAGACGACTTCTCTAAACTTATTTATTATTATAAAATCTTTTAAGAAAAATATGTATATATAAAAAAATATTTTATATTATTTTTTATATTAACAAGAAATAATAATGTTATTATATATTATTATAACAATATGTAATTTATTTAAGTTAATTATTTTTTAATTTATCATTTTAAAAAGGTTAATAAATATAAACAATATAATTTATAAAAAAATAATTAATAAAATAATTTTTATGAACTTAATGTAAGTAATAAAAATTTTAATTTTAATTTTTTAAAACTATCAATCATTTAAAATATAATTATTTAATTAATATAAATTTAATATTTGATAAATAAAAATGAAAAAAATTCAAAAAATATTACATAACAAAAACTTAATAAAAATAAATAAGAAATAAAACCATACCATATATTACTAAATCATTAAATAATATTAAAAAAAGATATATTAACCAGCGTCGCTTAAATTTGTTAAAGAAATTAAGAAATATGAAAATAAAATATTTATCTGAATATAATTTATAAAGAAAGATAAAATAATAAAAAATAAAAAAGAAACTATATTTTACACACTTTGAAAAAATGAAAAAAATTAATATTTTAAAATTAAAATTTAAATAAAATCTAAATGAAAAAAAAGACAGAAATAACATTATTCATTCTCCCTCCAACTTTTAAAAGTAAAATAATAAAAAAAAAAAAAACACTATTATGATATGTATTGTCTTTGAGTGAGCATTTATATGCATGGTGGTTTTTCATGAGAAAATTTATTGAAATTAAATTGAAAGAATTGGATGATGGATTGTGAACCATTTTTAAACTTTATTGGAAGTTTTCTGCTTGTAATAGGTGATTGGAAATTTTTGGGAAGTCCATATTACAGGGGAAACTCTATCAAAAATTTTGAAAAAATGTGAATTTCTAAGAAAAATCACTTAGGGACTCGTACATTACTCATCTGAAAATGGTGATTTGTGAAATCTGGGGAATCAGAGATTATGGACTCTGAGAATACGATAGGGAGGCCCTGAGGGAGGACTTGAGGATAGGAAGGGTAGTGGTTGGAGGTCCTAAAAGACTCAGGCTCGCTACTTGTTGTCGGGGATCCCACTGTACAAATTCTCTTGTACTTGACTGTGCTCTTAGCGTATATCAATGGTCAGTGAGTTATTGGGTTTATATTTGAGTATGGGTTTCAACAATCCCATTGGTGGATTTTTCATGCCTAGTATTGTCAACTCCTGGCTATCCCAATACTGATTTAAGAAATGATTCGGGCCCACATGTATAAACATTTTAAAAAACATATTAGAATCATACATCATTAACATCAATCATTTGGAATTTGATTGACTTGTGAATGTTTATGATGTTTGATTTTAAGATGATGTATGAATTGTTATTCACCCTCTTGTCTTTTTGTTTTCTTTATTTCCTTTGTACTTGCGGTACTCGTTGGACCTGATCGGTCATTGTTTGAAAAGAGGGGAGATGACACAGATTCTACACCCGATGAATATGACACTCATACTCATTAGCTGGGAGCCACAATGATGGCAACATGTATTGGGATAAACGTATCCAAACTTTTATAGACAGTATTTTGTAGTATATAGACCTACATAGTACTGGGTAATAGTCACTCTTTTGTGTAGTTAACTACTCTGTAGGAAGTATCCCCAATGTTGCCCTTAATATTTTGAAGGACTGTACTAGTATTTTATCTATATGTAATTATGAATGTTTACTTTTAGTACTTTCTAAAATGATGAAATGCAGGAATGAGTTATTGAAAATTTATATTAACATTATATACGAGGGAAATATTATTATTGGGTTTAAAAAAATATTCGCTAAAAATTATTAATTCTTCTGATTGAGAGTTTATAAGGTAAGGTGTTACAATAAGTACATGCTTTGTTATGAAAGTGTTATTACTTGAGTTGGGATATAATATTAAATTATGCCTACCAAGTGTTTGATGAAATGATCCAATGAAGAAGGTTCAATTTTTCCTACATAGAATATGTACTTTGTTGTCTAAAATCATACACGTAAGCAATTCATGATCATTTTCACAACCAAGCATATAATGAAATCAAAATTATCAATCATAACAAATTTAGACAAATTCAACAAATAAGGTCAAACAAGTTTATGATGTAATCCTTACTATATAGTTCACCCCTTATCTGATACGTTCACACTTATTCCTTTCAAAGCTTGATGTTGTGTTTCAGCAAAATCTATATATGTAATAAAATACTAGTTAGAATTTTAGATTTCTATGTTTCTATCTCATGAGAATTTAAATTCACTTTGTGTTGTTAATCCATTTCTAATAATATTTTAAGCTCACATTCAACTTATAATAACACTCTGAACATGTCTTGGTAATTGGATTATAACTCATGCTACACATAAGCTATTAACATGAAACAAATTTCTAAATTTCAGGAATATAATTTCCTACAACTTTTATGAAGGAATCAAGTCCTAATTTCACACATATCAATCCCAGTATTTCAAAAACCGAGGCTGTTGAAACAGGACTACTTCTTAACGTCACAGCTAAAACACTTGACAGTAAAATGAGCATAACTTGAGCTACAAATATCCGTTTAATGTGAAACCATTTTCTAAACTTCAACAACTTAAATAGATACAACTTTCATGAAGATACTAATTTCTAATTCTGTTCACACAAGTATCAGAAATTCAATGAACAGTACCTATGAATTAGGGTTCTTAAAGTTTTTAGATTAACCACTTCTAATCCTCAATTTTAAGTATTATTCTAGTATCCTAGGTGTAAAACCTACAAAAATACTCTTCCTACACCCATTCAAGCTCAGCCAAGTGAGGAAAAAAATAAAAAATGCATCATTTTGAAAAATAAAACCATAGAAATGTAGAGGAGATATTGAGATAAACAAACTTAACTCTTGGAGCTCTTCAAGAAAGTCAAGATTTCTCCCTCAAAATCAAGTTTGAAGGTACGGAAAATTTTGAGAGAAAAGAGAAATGGGGAACCTAAGAAAAACTTGCAGAATGACACTATTTCTTTTGAGCGAATTTCTCATGCACCCAACGGATATGAGGCCGCAAGGAATAAAGAGATTTCAAACCACAATCCGCTCAGCGGATCCCCGTGCGCACGGATTATAGTACAAAAAATTTATGCTTTTTTTTTTCTTACTTTAGGATTTGAATCTACAACCCCTAACACTCAAACATTACTCTAAACTATATCAGTTATCATATGTTTCTTGTCAACTCACACACATAGTACACTTTTAATGTACTCACACTCAATGCATACATGAGTATTTTCTAACAATTATAAAATAATAGAAAAATTATAATTGTTCTAATGCACATATAAGAATCAAACTCATGACCCTCCAATCTTATGATAAGTGTCTAACCAAATGATCCCCTCCTCATCTCTATAATATTATTAAATTCTTAATTTAATTACTTCTCTTACTTTCAATTTCTACTTTAAATCATATAATTACTATGTAACACCAGATTGCTTCACAAAACAGATCAATTTTGAGTATTTTCTAAAAATTCTAAAAAAACACAAATAATCTAACAAACATAAAACTCTATAAATACTTTAACTAATTCCTAATAATTTAATTATTAAAATTTTAATAAAGATTTTATCAAAATTTAACAAATCAGAATTAGTAAGAATTAGGATGTTCTACTTCCTAACCAAATAAATAAACAAGAATTAGGATGTTCCACTTCCTAACCAAACAAATAAACAAGGATTCATCAAAAACAACAAATGAAAAGAGTGAAGTAACATAAAGAGAACATACTTTCGCATGAAGAATATAAAACTGAGATTTAACACCAATCACAAGTTAATCATTCACGCACAATTCATACAACATCAAGTATTGTTTATCATGTTTATCAACCAAAGTAGAGAGGGACAGAAAACTCTAAGAAATATTCAAAGAGGATGCAAAACCAAAACATTGCTAAAGACAATCACAATGTCGGAAAAACTCGACTTTACTACACTCGTTCGAAGACTCTGTTGAGAAGGGGTTCACAAGCACGATAAACACAAAGGGCGACAAGAGTTAAAAAGGGTGAGAATATAACGAAGAGGGACACCGCAGAAACGAGCACCACCTTTCACAATTTTGATTTTTAACCTACAAAGGGTGAACAGACTCACAAAATCGAAAGAATGTATTTGACTCCAAAATGAACTCCTTCACATATTCACAAGAAAAAACTTCACTTATCCCTAAATTACAATTTTTACTCTTCAAAACATAAATTTTAATAAAATCATATTTTAATCTCTTGTTTTTTTAGATGTTTGAACATGGCTGTGAAAAAATCATTTTCATGAGGAAATTGTTAAACTATTAGAAGACGGAGTGGGTACCAGAGCAGAGCAGCTCCCAGTCTTGAACAACGTATCCGTGGCAGCTACGCGTTTCTCAATTGGTGAATTGCAGTTTGGTGTGTGGAGTCTCGTAGTAACACTGTGTAGGGTGTAATTTCTTCAAAAATAAAATAACCCTTATCCAAAACCCTTTCGTCTTCCTCCGTTCGTTACACAATTCAACTTCCCAAATGGCTGAAACCCCCAAAATCCGTTTCGGCGTTGTCGGGTGCGCCGACATCGCGCGCAAGGTCTCCCACGCCGTCGCGCTCGCGCCCAAAGCCGCCCTGCACGCCGTCGGGAGCCGCTCCATCAACAAGGCGAGCGCCTTCGCCGCTGCCAACGGCTTCCCCGCCTCCGCCAAGGTTTACGGCTCCTATGAGGCTCTTCTCGACGATCCCGAGGTCGACGCCGTCTACATGCCGCTCCCTACCGGCCTGCACGTGCGCTGGGCTGTGCTCGCCGCCACTAAGAAGAAGCACGTGCTGCTTGAGAAGCCAGTGGCTCTTAATGTTGCTGAGTTTGATGAGATCATCGCGGCGTGCGAATCCAACGGGGTGCAGCTCATGGACGGTACCATGTGGATGCACCACCCACGCACCTCGAAGATGAAGGAGTTTCTCTCCGATGCAAACCGTTTTGGCCAGCTCAGATCGGTATGAACCGGTCTAAATTCAATATTGGTTGTTGATGGCTTATTTTTTTCAGCTTGTTGTTTGATAAGATTTCTGTGTATTACAACGATTTGCATATAATTTAGCCTAATAGCTTGTCATGTTAGTTGTAAAATTCATCTATAAGCCTTTCTTTAACAGCTCACACATTTGGTTTCGATCCTTGTGGTCTCTCATATAGATAGTTAAGATAATTTGGGTTTATTCATCGTCCATCTCCTTGCAAATGAATGTTGTAAAAGGCATTCGTAAGTTTTCACCTCAAGTTTTTAACAAATAGAGTGTTGGTCTTTAAAATAAAATGGGAAAGTCTCGAGGCATATGAAATAGTCCGGTGAATGTAAGGTGTTGAAGATTTATTGCTTCAGATGCAGTAGTTGAATTTGTAATTAATTTTCATACTTGTATTATCTGATTGTTTGAATTTTGAACCCTTTATAATATCAGTGATTAGATTTTTGGCTTTCTTTCACGATGCTTGAAAGTTTTGGCATAGTTTTTCGTTGATTAAATCTCATGTTGACTTTTACTGCTTTACTTGTTGAGACTTGAGTATGATCAAGATAGCATAAGTTTTGAAACATAATCAAAGGGACCAGTTGAACTTTGCACTTTCTCCTTGTCTTCTAAGTGCTGCTTCATTTTTTTATCTGTTGTTCAGCTGATATTAAATCATGCAGTTGCTTACCTATTCAGTGTTTCGTGGTTACATCATCATAACCATATTTTTGAACTGAGATGGCCTTTGGGGCCTTGATATCTTTTCCCTGAGTACAAGATACAAAGTACGGTTCATACCCAAGGAAATAATATTTGTTTTCAGTTGAACTTGATAAACTGGGGCTTTCAGAGATTAAATATATTCCAGATTCAACATTAAGTGCCAATACACATTGAGCTATCAACCAATTATACCTCTACCAACCATAAAAGTCTTTCACAAGTATAAAAATCGTAGCAATAGGAATATGTGTCTATTAATGACTTACAATTTATTGATAAATTGCATATTTGATACCTATCTCTTACCTAGTGGGATAAGCCTTTTGGCTTTTGCTGCGGTTGGATATTTGCAACCTTCTCTGTTTTACCTTTTCATCTAAATCTGATTTGCTTCGGTATTCTGGTTCTCTCTAATTGTTTTACTTTCTTGACCATCTATTTTTAAGTTTTTTTTTCTTCTATACTTTTCTTCGCAAATTTTTTGACAGTAAATGTAATCTCAGTCCTATAAATAAATAAGGGAAATAAGGGACTTTTAATGATGTGACCATCTACTATTGTTTTCCATATTTTTACATTAATGCATATTGTTTGGACTCTAAATGGCAGTCATTGAATGAAAATACAAGTTAAAAGGCATTCCCTAGGGACATAGACTCTTGGCCAGGTTAGCGTATTGGGGAGGGAGAATACTGTATTATGCATTCATGTTCTGCGTTGATATACATCTTTCTCTTTTACTTGCCCAGATTCACACCAATTTTTCATTTGCCGCTGATGCTGATTTCCTTGAGAATGACATTCGCGTGAAGCCAGATCTTGATGCGCTTGGTGCTCTCGGCGACGCAGGTTGGTACTGTCTTAGGGCAATACTGTGGGCGGCCAACTATGAACTCCCAAAAACTGTAATCGCCTTGCGCAACCCTGAGCTTAATCAAGTTGGGGTGATACTGTCTTGTGGGGCTACTTTATGCTGGGAAGATGGGAAAGTAGCAACCTTCCATTGCTCCTTCTTGTCCAACTTGACAATGGATATAACTGCTGTTGGGACAAAAGGAACACTACATGTTCATGACTTCATTATCCCTTATGAAGAGAAGGAAGCATCATTTTATGCAGCTACAGAATCAGGTTTTGATGATCTTGTTACAAAGTGGGTTTCACAGCCAAGCAAGCATATAATAAAAACTGATATACCGCAGGAGGCTCTTATGGTAAATGAGTTTGCCCGTTTGGTGGCTGATATCAAATTCAACAACGCAAGACCTGAGAAGAAGTGGCCAACAATTAGTAGGAAAACTCAATTGGTAGTGGATGCTGTTAAGGCTTCAATTGAGAGGGGTTTTGAGCCTGTTCAGATTCAGGAATAAGGGATATGAACTGAGGTCTATGTTCCGTTAGTGCATCCCAACAATAATTTCTGTTTTGTATGTATTTTGAGCAGTTCATTGCTTGCCTGTGCGTGAAAGAGGCATGCAGGGTCTGTAGACTCTTCCACGATGAACTTTTATTATGCCCTTCAAGGATGGTGATTGGGAATTAAACTAATTCTAACGGGTATCGATTAAAAATTGGTATAGAAATCGATTTTTTACTTTTAAATAATTAAATTTTAATTTAATGAGTATAAAATTGGAAAAATTGAAACAAATATGTAAAATCAGAAAAATAATATTAAATTTTTGAATTTAATCAGTTTCGATGAAAAAAGATTTGATCAAAAAAAATTTTTAAATATAATTTTTTTATAAAAAATATAATATTTTTTATCTTATATTAGTGATGTTAATTTTAAATAATAATTATTTTATTTTAACTATTATTATTTTATATTTTATAATATGTTTTATATTAATAATCTTTGATATAATTTATAATAATTATGATAATAATAATTATTATTAATAAATTTATTATATTATAAAAATATTATTTTATACATTAAATACATTTGGTGATCCATACGATTTAAAAAAAATTCTTATTAAGACCTGTTTTTTATTATGTCATGTTTGTTGTAAAGGATAAAAATATGAATAATGAAAAATAAAATGAAATAAGTTGAGAAAAATAAACAAGTAAAAAAAAATGAATGGTAAAGTAGAAAATTTGAGAGAAATATATTTTTTTAATACATGAGATTTGGTTATAGATAAATTTGTGTTAAGTATTACTCATTTTCTGTGAAATAAACTTTCCAAAGCTTTATAGAATTGATCAGTTAAAGTTCTTATACTACCAACTATTATAATAAAATAATTGATTATTAGATTTTCTACAGTCGACTAATGTATAAAAATGAGTTTCTAGCAAATGATTTTAATTGATGTTAATGGTTGATTAAATTGGTTGATATGAAGTGAGCTACATAACTAATAGATCTAGTTGGAATGTGAAATAGTAATATAAATAAAAACATATTAGTCTTTATACTTTTTAAAATGTCTTTTTCTAATCCTTTAATTAGATACTGTTAGTGACACTATTGAAGTAATAAATATAGACTGTTTTATGGGAGGTGGAGTTTTGAATTAATTAGAAAAAATATACCTTAAAGGAACAACCATTTAACGTTTTTAATTTGCTATGATATATCAACTTGTCAACAATTGTAGACTGATTTTACCAAAGAATTTGTCTTTTGAAGAGTGTGTATGAAATCATTGAACACTTTAATGTGCTGATATAGTCGAATATGAAGAAATGAAAATTAGTTTTTGATTAATGATTATTTGCAAATTCTAGGATACTTTTGAGTATATTTGCAATTGAATTAATTTGTATTCGTTAGAATATTCTTTGTAGATTGGGCAGGTTAAGGTCAGGAGAGTCATAAGAATCCTAAGTCCCGCGGATCTACCTTTGTGAGTGGAGGAATACTTTACATATTACAACAGTCTTTACAAATATATTTTTTTATATCGTTTTATTTTCTTGTATATTTTGTTTAATTATGTTTTTGTATATCACTTAATCTTAAAAAAACAACAAAAATTAAAACACAACAAAAAGATTTTTTTAAGCTTTATAATTATCTATAATCTTTTATAAATATTACTTTACAGTATCTTCCGTGGGTCCCCTTATTCTCCTCCAATTATCTACTGCTTTACTTTCTACTCACCCTTTGATTTCCTGCCTTTTTTTTTTACATTTTTTTTTTAATGGAAGGTATACAAGGTCTATAGCCTTTTGTAGGCAAAGATTACAAAACAGCTCTTGCAGCTGTAAAACAAATGACAAAATCCCCTCCAGTAGGATATAAAAAGCCTACTCTAGAAATAGATAACACACAGTCCTTATTGGACAGAATAACACAATAATTGTGTTTCTAGAAGAAGTTTCTAGAAAGTTAACATGTTTAATTGATTTAAACAAAAATACAAATAAGTCAAATGAGATAAATGATCTTATTAACCAAGTTTCTAAATTATCTTTAGGAACCAACACATACACTAAAACAATTTCTAAAAATACACATAAATTTGTTAAATTGACTACAAATGGTCTTAAAAACCAGACCAACAAAGAAGAAGTTTCTTCTTCTACAAATAAAATTGAGAGTTAAATATGTTTACACGACCTATTAACTCCACACAAACACAAATAGAAACTGTTGATATGAATAATACAACATATTCTACCAAACACAAATATTTCCCAGAATCCCCAGAAGATTAAGGGAACATCAAACTAGGAATCAAAACATAGTACAACATCCAGGAATTTTAGATAGATTCTTAAACAGACAAAGAACTACTAACGTCAAATGACTAGAAGACTTAGTAGATATACAACAAAACACTGAGATAGGATCAAATTCAAGGATAAATTCCTTAAATCCTAAACAGTTATATAATATTGGTTGGTTAAGTTTTGAAAGGACTAGCCTGTACCGATATAGAAGAATAAAAGATTTTCATCTTCTAGACAACATATACGAGATAATTCCTTTAAGATCTCAACAAATAGGCAACTACTAAACCAACAAGGAAAATATGTCCATATGGGATTGATTACCAATGGAGTTAGATCCGTAGCTAAACATATGACCGGAGCTAGAGCTTTGATAGTTCTACATGACTCCAGATTTCAAAATAATGATTTACAAAGTGTGATAAGTATTTTAGAGGTGGATCTAAATCAACCTTTTTCATTGATATACCTTGTACCAAATTTTACAATGACACTTCCAGATTTAATTAAGCATATAAGTCTAAAAGTACAAACAATAGGTTTTGGTCCCAATTGGATGAGCGAAAATTTACACTTAGACATTACCTTCATAGGAAGAATTAGTAACCATATTTCTTCCATGTGTAGGATAGACACAAGACCATTAGAGGAAACTATTAGCTCTCATGGTACACAATTTTTGCTAGTCCAAGCCTTCACTAGAAGAAATGAAAGACACTTATGGCAAACACACTTGCCAAGGGAAGAAAATAATCCCATTATTGCCCCTTCATCTGCTATCTTGCATAACAAATCTAGAGAACTTAGTCTAAGTTTTATAAAATATAGAAATATACCATGACTAGACCTAAAACAAGATAAACCAGTGGAAAACAAGCATAACACTTCTGCTATTCTTGATAATGAAAACATTTCTATGATGAATATTGTAGAATATGATGAAGATGAAGATGATGACATGACTGATGAGGAATGGAATCATCATCAGGCTGTTATATCCATGTTCAGACAAGAAACTTTAGATTCCACTAAAAATTCTTTTTCCCAAACAAATGAAAATGTTCAAATTGATGAAATGGACGATATCATAAATACATTTTTGGATAATTTGTGTCTAGATGAAAAAGATGATGATACATTGGATGATATATCCGTTGTCTCAGAACCCTTATCCATATTAGGGTTAGTAAACACAAATGTTGTATCAAACCATTTCCAACCTCATAGCTATCAACTAGAACCTGATGGTGTACAAAGTTATTCAATTGACTTTTTGCCCAGAGAATCATCACAAAATGTTGTTTTTAGTAACAACCAATACACAACACAAGGCAAAAAGCTCCCAATTGAGCCAAATTTTCAAATGCCTAAACTTCTTCTAAACATAGGAGAAATATTAGACAATTTCAGAAGTTGTCTAATGAATACAATAGAGAAAAATCCATGTTCCCATGACATGCAGTTTTTCTCAGGACCAGGATTCATTCCTTGTCTATACTGTAAAAAATATTTTCACATTTCTCAAAGGGGACATTGTCCCCTTTGTTGCAAAAATTTATGTATAAAATATATACAAATACATCTAGAAATACAGGAAATACCCACTTTCTTAAGAAAAGAAGAAAGCATAAAAGATAAAAATTTAATCGACACTAGGACTTCTGTCTTAGAAACCATATTAAATATTCTTGAAGAAAAGGTTCTTCACCTAGAAAAAATCATTAAAGGAAAAGATGCTGAGAAAGGACCAGTATCCACATCCTTACAAAACAACATAATGGGAACTATTGAGTGTATCTCATTAGTTTGTAATAAAAAACAACTAATAACTTTAAAGGTATTAGTAAAATTAAATTTTCCACAAAAAAACAAAAATCTTGCCAAAGAAGAGATAATTCAAGCTCTTTTAGATACAAGATGTTCTGAAATAGTTGTATGCAGAACAAAAGTGCCTACGTACATGATTACTAAGAGTAAGCATGTACAAAAAACCATAATTATGTCTGGAGAAATAATGATAAATGATGAAGAGATAAACAATATCTCTCTTCACTTCAGCACAAATTGTGACCTCTTCAATCAGAAAATACATGTTAAAACTATGCGAGTGGAAAATTTAGTCTCTCCAAACAAAGCATGATTATAGGCTTAGATTTTATTCTGGCCAAAATCGAACTATCATTATAAACAAAGATTATATTATCATTAGTGATAAAACACATATGTCTCCGTAATTAGTGGTGACAGTCAAATTTATACAGAACAACCTGATAAAGAATGTTCTTGTAATAACCCTAAATCTTCCAACACATGTAATTGCATGGAAGAAGATTTAGAAAATATAGATTACACAAATGATACTATGAAATCTTTTTCTTCCATCAAAATTTCAAAAACAATCACATTTGACAATATCCAACTGATATTTGATAGGTTAAATAAAATGAGCATAATAGGAGAAGATCTTACAAAATTTTGGGATCGTGACCCTGTTATTTGCAAATTAAATATAATCAACCTAGATTTGATTATAAAAACAAAATACATATAGTTCAATAACTGGGAACAAGAAGAATGTGGATTGCATATTGACAATCTATTAAAATTGAAGGTAATAACTCAAAGTGAAAGTTCTCATAGGAGTCCTTATTTCATAGTAAATAAATCTTCAGAA